GGGCAGGGCACTGTCAGAGCTGGGAGCTGGGCCCTGCAGTCCCAGCTGAGGGCGGGGCTGTGGCTCAGAGGCCCTGGGCCCGGCTCACAGCCCTTGCCTGAGGGAAATGGCTGTGGACACAAAACACTCACTGGACTCAAAACACACACTGGACTCTGCAGTGGAGGGGAATGGTAACTACATCTTATCTACAGTTTCATATTGCTGTATACGCTGTAGTATTTTTTGATATATTGGATGGGGGGGGGGGGGGGGTCTGGTCGTGGGGCCTGAACTCTGGGCCTGGGCGCTGTCCCTCAGCTCAAGGCTGAAGATCTACCACTTGAGCCACAGCGCCACGTCCAGTTTTCTGGTGGTTCCTTGGAGATAAAAGTCTCTCAGACTTTCCCAGGCTGGAGACCTCGGCCTCCTGAGCAGCTGAGGTGACAGGCGTGAGCACCGGCGCCCCACAAAATATTCTTAAAAGGAGTTTTAGCTTTTTTGTGTGTGTGGTGCGGCTGTTAGAAAATGTCAGCACACGTGGAAGTGCACACAGCCCTCGTACAGGAGGGGCTGGGGCCAGGGAGGAGGACCAGCTGGTCTTGTCTAACGTTTATGCATTTAGGAAACGGCTTGCCTCAGCAGTTTTGGCTTTATGTGTCTGGATCACAATTAAAAGATACAAAACACCTCAAAGAAGAACAAAAACATCAACATGGGGGAATGGAAAGCAGGAAGGAAGGAAGGGAGGGAGGGAGGGAGGAAGGGAGGGAGGGAGGGAGGGGAACCCCAGCAGTAGGGACAGGGTGGACGGTGCACGTAGGAGAAACTGGTAGGGCCATGAACTAACAGACCTTCAACCTGACTCAGAAGGGAGTGTGGCAGGATGGATTTTTCACAGAGGGGTGGGGGTGGATGAGAAGGACGGACATGTGTAAAGACCCCCGGTTTAGCCAGGAAAGTAAACATGACCAGGAACCAGGGGTCAGTGGCTCACAAAGTCCTAGCCTCTTGAAAGGCCTCTGAGGTCTGGACGATCACGGTTTGGAGCTAGCCCAGGCCGAAAATTCCATGAGACTTTATCTCCACAGTAATTTCTCCAGCAAAAACCCAGACCAGACCGAGTTCAAAACCCAGGCACCAGCATGCATGCACATGCATGCGTGCACACACACACACACAACCCCCCAAATCTGAAGTGCCACAAGGAGGGAACAGCCACCTCTGGAGACCTACCCAAAAGGAGCAAGGCCGAGGTCAAGAAGGCAGTGCACGGACAGAGCGGGCAGAGCAGGCAGCTGCCACGGAGCCAGTGCCCTGTCTTGGGCAGACTATCCGGGGTTAGTTCAGTCGTGCAGCCCAGGAAGCCGAGGCCAAGGGCGCCAGGGCTTGAGTGGCAGGGAGCAGAGGACGCTGCGGGCAAGGTGGCTGCGGGGAGGCGGCTGAAGTGCAAGCATGAAGAGGTGGAGGCGGGAAGGGTGGCTGGGCTGAGGAAGGCTAGAGGGGAGCTGAGGAGCGCGGGGCCACGTGCCTCCCGGGCAGCGGGGCAGGGGCGGGCAGCTGTGAGGGGAGCAGAGGAGAGCTCGGTTAAGGCAGTCGGTTACTCTGGCGTGGCCGGCAGCCAAACTTCCAAAACGCTTCAGTGCCCATCTCAGTAACCACCTCTGCAAAAGAAAGTGGACCACAAAGCTAAATGCTGGTGTCTCACGCTTGTAACCCTAACTACTCAGAGAGCTGACTGTGGACTGCAGGTCAAAACCAGCCCGGGCAGGAAAGTCCATGAGACACTTACCTCCAATTAACTGGCAAAGAGATGGAGTGGGGGCGTGGCTTAAATGGTAGCGGCTCACTAGCCTTGAGCAAAAAAGCTAAGAGAATGCCCAGGACCTGGGGTCAAGCCTTAGTACTGGTACCAAAGAAACAAGCAAGAGCTCTTCTAAGCACAGTGGAGTATCAATAGGCATCTCTATAAACTTCCGGGCCAAGGGAAGCTCAGGCGGGAGCCGTGGGTCTGAGCACGGCTCTCAGCGAGATACTCCATAATCCTGAGCACCAAGTAAACACAAACTTCAGCTATCCACCTCGAGAAAACCACGCTGCACAAACACAGCGCATGCCACGACACGAGCGGAGGAAAACCTCAATGCAGCGCGTGAGCCGAGCAGCTGCCGTCCTGCAACTGCAGCCAGTGCACCCGCAAATGCACTTGGTCCCAGTTTCCCCAAGTTCTTTATTTTCTTTTCTCTTTTTCTCACTTCTGTCAATATGGCAAGTGGGGAAAACGATGTTTGGGAGAATGAGTATGCACTGGGCAATACCGATACTAATGTATAATAAAAACAGGAAAACAAGCAGTTCAAAAAGCCACAGGAATTGGATGGCCGAGCCTGCAGTGGCTCAAGTCTGTGTGCTGGGCCTGGTGAGAAGCAGGAAGCCTGCCTGTCTGATGCCTGTGCAGCGGTTCTCTTGAGAGGGCGCACACCACCCAGGCTGCAGCAAGGGGCTGACCCTGCACGCTCACACCAGAGCAGCCTCCTCGTGCTCAGCTGGACTGCACATCTGAGGAGCAGAGCCTCCAGCCGGGATCTTCATCTCCAAGGTGATCCCTGACTGGGATATGCATGGAGCAAGACTTCAAGAAGGACCAGCTTCCAGCTGTCAGGACACTGAGCATAGCGAGGCTGCTGAGATCTTGAAAACAGCTCCTGAAATCAGTGCGTGGTATATGTGTGTGTGTGTGTGTGTGTGTGTGTGTGCATAGTGAGGCTGCTGAGATCTTGAAAACAGCTCCTGAAATTGGTGTGTGTGCCTGCGTGCGTGTGTGCGCGTGCATTTCTTTTCCTACAGCTGTCACCACCAAAGAGAGAAGACTGCACTGAGCCTTGCCACCCTCCGCGCTCCACATGGGGTCTGCAGACAATCGTGAGGCCTCGGGGAAGCCCCCGGGGGCTCCTCAGCCCTCCCGCACAGGGGATGGAGGGTGAAGGCAGCTAGCCCTGCATTACCCACTGTCCTGCGCTTAGAGTTCTGTTGTTTCCTGGGTGAGCTGGACTCTGACAGAAGGATGGACACCTGGAACATATACACAATACATGTAAACAGCTAACTGTTTTTGTTACACAACTCAGCAGAAATAAGAATCCTGAGGCCTTGGCACTTGATTTGCCTGGCCATGTCATCCTGCTAGAAAGGCCCTGATATAATGTAGCCACACTCAAGGATGGCAGGGGCGGCTCTGGTTGTGCACAGGAAGCACTGGGAAAGGGATTTAAGAGCTGGAAAGGAGCAGATGTCACTTTTGCCAGAGGTCAGAATTTTATGGAGTAGATCACTGCCCTCTTGCCCTCCTTTCCTTTAATCAAGAGGAGCAACAAATCCAAAACTCTCAACCTGGACAGTCCGCTCTTCTCCCCCAAAAACAGACAGAACCTTACACGCAGGGCCCTGCTCTCCCCCTACCCCATCCTGGGCCCTGGCGCAGGAGGCTAAGCTGGTAAGGGCCCCGTTGCCCCAAGACCAAGCGTCAGGGGCATCTCCTCCCCTACACCCTCAGTTAGACTCCACAAGCAAAGCCCAGAACACAGAAAAGAACAAGATTACAAGTTTTAGATTTCATAGTTCACCACAATCAAAGCCTAATTTGAAAACCTTTTGAAAGTACCCCTCTGAGGATATGAACCCCAAATCAGAATTTTTACAAAGGCAACAAGATTGTGCTCATTACCACAACATGTTCTTCCCCAAGTATCTAATCAGGTTCCTGACCCGGGCCTCCCACTCCCGCGGCTGTCACAGGAAGGAGGGCTCCGGGCCTAGGCACTTGCTATCAAAGGCCCATTAGACATTTTCAAGGACACGACATGTATGGAATGCAGCGAGGAGGAACTTCAAATCCGCTTTCTGTGACTAGCAGGGCAGTGGCCTGAGGGAGCTGAGGGCATCATTCCCTGAAGAGGCCAGAAAGAGCAGTGAGGTCTCGGGGCTGCTGGGGACAGCCCATGGCTCCCCTGTGCTCACTGGCCAAATGGATCAGAAGGTGCAAGAATGTTTGAGTCCTTTTATTTATTTTTTTGCCGGTCCTGGGGCTTGAGCTGGGCCTGGGTCTGGGCGCTGTCCCCGGGCTGCTTTTGCTCAAGGCTAGCACTCTACCACTTGAGCGACAGCACCCTTCTGGCTTCTTCTGTGTGTGTGGTGCTGAGGAATTGAACCCAGGGCTTCATGCGTGCTAGGCAAGCGCTCCACCACTGAGTCCCATCGCCCAATCCTGTTTGCATCTTTTACAGGAAGTGTTTTCCTATCTCCGTTCTTGTCTATTTCCCATTTTTCTATTACAATTACTCAGTGTGTGTGTATGTGTTTGTATGTATTTATTTATTTTATATTGGTGCTGTTCCTGGGGTTGAACTCCATTCAGGACTGGGTGCTGCCCTGAGATTTTTGTTTGTTTTGCTCAAGGCTAGCATTCTACCACCTGAGCTATAGCTTCACTTCCAGCTTTTTGGTGGTTAATTGAAGATAAGAATCTTAAAGACTTCCTGTTTGGGCTGGCTTCAAACCACACCCTCAGATCACAGCCTCCAGAGTAGCTAGGATTGCAGGCAGTTTCATGGCTTTGTGCTTCATGATCTTGTATTCCTTACACGGGACCCCCCAATCCAGGATGGCTGCAGGCCAGTCCCAAACCCTCTCCTGTGGTCCTCCTGCAGGAATTGTCTGTCTCCAGCTCCTTACCTGGTGGGTCCTCGGTCCTGGGAGGCTCAGCTGAGAGCATACTACGTCTCTGACAGATCTTCTCTGCCTGCCAGCTTAAAGTGGTCTGCTCCCTCCTCCTACAGCACCACTGGGGTCCTCAGCACGTGTGCGTGGTGCTGTTATTTGCCCCTCTTCCCCTAGGAGGGGCAACAGGAAGGAAGGGCGTGTCTGCCACTGCAGACCCCGCGCTGGGCATAGGGCAGGTAGTCAAGGTCTGTTGAGCGAATGGAAGAATGGCCGAAACTCTAGATGAAGCCCTCAGCTCTCACCTGGATAGTTACTAGAGCCTTCTCACTGGTCTTGCTACCTTCATTCTCTCTTCCTTCACTCCAATCCACCTTCCACAAGTGCTGACAAGAGTTCTAAAAAAACACATTTGATCCTGTCACTCCCTTGATTAAAACCCCACAGGTTCCCCACAGCCTCCAGTGTCAGACCTATGTGTCGCAGCATGGTTTTAGAGTATGGTTCCAATTCATCTTTCTAGCTAGCTACAGCTCCTGCCATGCCACACCACGCCACGCCACGCCACGCCCTGGGGCTTAGCTGTGCTCCTCTGAGGTCTCCTCATAAGGCCAAGTTGTTTTCTCCAGCTTCATTATTACTGGCTGCTGTTTATTCTGCCACTGAGACAGGGTCTTGCTATGCAGCCTAGACTAGCCTCAAACTCATGGTCCTCCTTGCCTCAGTCTCCCAAGTGCTGGAATTAGCAGCATGTGTCACCATGCCCAACCTGTCTTCTCTAGCTTTAATGGCATTCTTTACTTTCCCCTACCCCCTTTTTTTTTTAATTTGTTATTATGATGTACAAAGGGGTTACAGTTACATAGGTGGGTAAAGAGTACATTTCTTTCTGGACAATGTCACCTCTTCCCTCCTTCTACTCTTCTAAGAACTTTCAGGACCTAGATTAAATGACATCTTCTGAAAAGTATTTCTTAAACTGTCCCAATAAGATCTTTCTACAGTCACAATGGCTTCAAACTAGTGAACCCTGCCTTAAGTCTGCTGAGCAGCTGAAATTACAGGTATAAGCCACTGTGCCTAGCCAAATTTAACCTTTTTGTAATTAGCAAATGTTAATTGTACAAGGGATGGCTTCTACTGTGATATTTCTACATATATAAACAGTGTATCCTGGTCAAGCTGACCCCTTAACTTGACTTTGAAGGAAATGTTGTATTTGATCCATACTCAAGAATATGTAACATACATCCTCACACCTACCCCGCTGGTGCAATGTCACTGTAGCACAAACCCCACTAACCTACCAGTCCGCCTTCACTAAACCATGAGCTCTGGCAGGGTTTACAGACCAAAACAAGAAAATGTGAGGAACTAATTTTTAGTCCAACTCTACCATATTACCTCTCTCAGCTGGCTATCTGGACAACATACTTCTCTTTGCCAACTTTTACCTGCTCACCCTCACCTTTGCGATTACGAGTCATTGCAACCTCTGCACATACATACACCAGTGAGGGCACGCACGGCAGAACCTCTTCCAGGGCCATCCTGACGCTCTGGAAACACACTTCCTGTACCCTTTGCTCTTAGCCGGTCTGACCAAACTGATGAAAACATCCACACCCCACCCAAGGCTTTCTTTATTGTGAAGGCACTTGCTTTCAGCCTCCAGCTCTAAATGTCAACCTGGCATTAAACCACACTGTCCTAGCTGAAGAGCCGTTTTTCTCTTGTTTTTTGGTGCCAGTCCTGAGGCTTGGACTCAGGGCTTGGGTGCTGTCTCTAACATTTTTTTTGGCCAACGACAGTGTTCTACCACTGGAGCCACAGCTCCACTTCCAGACTTTTGGTGGTTAACTGGGGGTAAGAGCCTCACAGACTTTCCTGCCCAAGCTGGCTTTGAACTGCGATCCTCATCTCAGCCTCCTGAGGAGTTAGGATTACAGGCGCCAGCTGCCCTTTTTCAAATGTAATAAGACGGTTCTCAAGAACTGACACTGGCCGTGAAGAGTAAGGCGCTACTGTCTGGTGCGGCTCTGGCCTAGATGACGCTGTGTCCCTGCTCTTAGGACCATGTGGATTCTGACTCTTCTCTTCCCCCAGTATGACACACAAACATTTCTTGTTCTCTAAGTGGCATTCTGTGCCATCCTCATCCAGAACTGCCTCCAGATTTTGTTTACCAACAGCCCTGCATGTAATTCGATTCTTTCCCATCCATCACACTCTTGTCTTCCCAAACATAAACACAAACCCATAAGAACTCGAACTCCACAATTTCTGTAGACAGCGGAGGTGACTCCATGCTCAATCTCACTGAAAAAAAATCATCCAGCTACTTGGAAATCACTTCCTCGGGTGATATTAATACACGCATGGGTAAACACAGCACTTCTGTTTAAAGTTTTTAAGGAAATTAAGTGGGTTGAATATTCGCTCAACAGTTTGTAATCCAGACAGCAAGTCTACTTCTGGGCGGCCCAGACCAGATGGGAGACGGCACAGCAAGATGTCGCCACACCTCCTGGCAGGGTCACACGGAGAGCCCTCGATAGGTGTGGGGCGTGCACGATCTTAACTGTGATTTATCAAGTTGGGGAATGGGGAATATTCTTCCCCAGACAAAATTATTTCCTAAGGACCAGAATCTATACCACATTTCTGTTCCACGTTGATGATGTTAAAATCCATGCAAACCCTATGTTCTTCCTGACCAGGGTGGGGGTGGGGGTCTTCCCCACGCAACCTGACCCCTGCATGAGAATCAAGTTTCTATCTCAACAAGTCTGCTTCATCTTTACCATTTGCAAGGCAAGTCATGCTAAAAACACAAAGAACCCAAATATGTGTGGCAGTACCTGGAGCTAAAAGCAACTCCAAGGACTTGAACAAACACAATCTATTTGGCAACTTCTGTCTGCTACATTTAACAGGCTGCTGTGTTCCTGAACAGATAGCTCAGGCTCCTTCCAGAATGAAACTGAACACATACTAGAAACCCCAGTGCATACTATAACGCTGGCAAAAGCTGTGTCATGTGACCCAATTTTAAGTGCCAGAATTCCTACATCAAAAATGATGTTACAGCAAATATTTCCAAAAGCAATAGAGCTACCCCTTGGACAAATACCTGCCAAACATACATACAAAAACTCTTGCTGTAATTTGAACAGCCTAAAGCAATGTCACCAAGTTATTCAATCTTCATGAAAATTTCCAGGACATATGAATAGAGTTAAAATTCTATAGTTTCTTCTTTAAAGTATACACATATATCAACAGAGTCATGCTCACCTCCATGATAGAGGAAATAACTTGTTACAGATAACTGTGCATGCTCTGTACAAACACACAAAACAGTTACCCAAAGAGGAACAGGTTAAGGCCAACAAATGAACCCACCACATTTAAACGAGTAATACTAGGTAAGACGACTGCGCAAATAAAAACAGGCTTAGCTCAGAGTGCAAAATAAGGCCCACTGCCCTTTGGTAAGAACCACTAAGACAGGGTGCTACTTACTTCCTCATTAAATAGTTTGCTAGTTTCTTTTTTGATTGGGTCTATAAGCTGGACTTGGCCTGCGGAAAAGCCCACTAGGAGAGAGACACTTTCTGCTGTGGCTGTGAGGTGGTTGAAGTCATGACAAGTAGGCTGTGTTCCTTTGTATATCCTTTTATCTATTGGTTTACTCAAGTCAGCAGCCTGGAGGAGAAAGAGAAAAATACATACAGTAAACAGCACATTGAGATGAGAAATCTAAGTTACACTCTTTTATACTGTCATGAAGTTCACTTTCAAAAACAAAGTTATTCAACATATTCTTTCAATCGTGACATTTTATAAAGCAGTTTCACATACCTTGGCCAACTAGACATGGTTACACTAGCTATAATATATGTATTTATAGCTGATTTCCACCACTTACTCTCCTTCAAATGTATGTAACAAGGACTCCTGGACTTTGGGAGGAAAAATACTTTTGAGATACTAAATTCAGTATTTTCAAATGCATCCCAGTAAGTTTTTAACAGAGTTAAGTCTGATCAACACATAAATGCTCAGGCTCTCAGACCCATCTGTGGCACGTAAATTTCACTGGTAAGTTACCTGTAGCTTAGTGGGTCTTAGAGTGTGAATCCTAGGCCGTCACCAGCAATACTAGGAAACTCAGAAATGCACTTCTCAAGACCCAACCCAGATCCATGAGTCAGAACCATGGGGTAGGACAGATAAGCCACAGTTTAAAAAGCTGCTGTGTGTGTGTGTGGGGGGGGGGGGGGGACTGGGAAGGTGGCTCAGTGGTAGAACGCTTGCCTTGCATGCATGAAGCCCTGGGTTCGATTCCTCAGCACCACATAAGCAAAAAGAAAAAAGCCGGAAGTGGTGCTGTGGCTCAAGTGGTAGAGTGCTAACCTTGAACTGAAGAGTTGAGGGACAGTGCCCAGGCCCAGAGTTCAGGCCCCACGACCGGACCCCCCTCCCCCCCCCCCAAAAAAAAGCTACTGCCGGTACCGATGGCTCACGCCTGTCATCCTAGCTACTCAGGAGGCTGAGATCTGAGGATAGCGGTTCAAAGCCAACCCAGGGGGGCTGGGAATGTGGCCTAGGGGTAGAATGCTGCCTAGCATGCATGAAGCCCTGGGGTCCATTCCTTAGTACCACATACACAGAAAAAGCCTGAAGTGGTGCTGTGGCTCAAGTGGTAGAGCACTAGCCTTGAGCTGAAGAGCTCAGGGACAGCGCCCAGGCCCAGAGTTCAAGCCCCACGACTGACAAAAAAGAAAAAGAAAAAAGAAAAGCCATCTGAGGCAGGAAAGTCCATGAGACTTTTTTCTCCAATTAATCACCAAAAGGCCAGAAGTGAAGCTGTGGCTTAAGTGGAATAGTGGCCAGGCCCTGAGTTCAAGCCTCAGTACTAGCACGCACACACACACACACACACACACACACACACACATACACACACACACACACACACCCCAAAAAAAAAAAGCAAAGCCTCCCAAGTGATCCTGATGTTTACTTGGGTCTGGGAACCACTGCTGGATTCAATTATAGGCAGATGGCTTCCTCTCTGGATCACATTCTCTCTCCTGTGTGTGCCACACACACACACACACACACACACACACACACACACACACACACACACACACACACACACACACACACACACACACACACACACACACACCCCAAAAAAAAAAAGCAAAGCCTCCCAAGTGATCCTGATGTTTACTTGGGTCTGGGAACCACTGCTGGATTCAATTATAGGCAGATGGCTTCCTCTCTGGATCACATTCTCTCTCCTGTGTGTGCTTTCCAGGGAACTTTCACTTAGACAGAATGCTTTACACACATAACCTTTATTCCTTACAATAGTCCCTCAGTTCTTCAAAGGGAAATATTTTCCCCGATTTTCAGATGAAAGAACACATGTAGGGATGCTGACTTGCAGGTGGTAGGACTAGTTTGGAATCCAGGTCTACTGGCCATGCAGATGGAGACAAAAGACATCCGACACACCCCACAGTCAAAAACTCAGGTTCTAACAGTGACCTTTTGCTGGGCCAAGTCCTGTAAACCTAGCACTAGAGAGGCAGAGGTCGGTTTGGGCCACACACACACACACACAAAATTCCAATGCATAACCATTCCCCTTTCTTCAAGGAAGGTTTTTCCAGCCAGGCGTCAGTGGCTCATGCCTATAATCCTAGCTACTCAGGGGCTGAGACCTGAGGATCGCAGTTCAAAGCCAGCCTGGGCAGCAAAGTCGATGAGACTCTTATCTCCAATAAATCACCAGAAAAAAGGAAGTGGTGCTGTGGCTAAGTGGTAGAGCGCTAGCCTTGAGCTAAAGAGCTGATGGACAGTGCCCAGGTGCAGAGTTCACGACCAACAAAGGAAAAAGAAAAAGAAGAAAGGTCTTTCCTTCAAAAGAAATGCACCATATAATCCCCATATCCTGGATCTATCTAATGAAATAAGGCAAGTCCACCTCCTCAACTAGAACTGCTAGGGTTACAAGTCCACAAAGCCAGCCTGGGCTATCCAACACCCTTTCCCCCAAACATCAAGATCTGAGAAGCTAGATTCAAAGACAGCTGGGACAAATTGGAGACTGATCTCCAACTAAAAGGCAAAAAGCCGGAAGTGGATGTGTGGCTTAAGCGGTAGAGCTCCAGTGGTAAATGAAAAAGCTGAACAAGGCTTTGAGGTCCTAAATTCAAGTCCTAGTAGGCTTTACAGAACAGAATTTCCTTATTAAAGTTCCCACTGTGTTGTTCTACCAACTTTCCAACTTTCTGGTGGGTTGTACATACTGTGGGATTTAAAAAATGCCAATTATCTAACCTATGAATATGTCCATTTATTAACAATTCTTGGAGCCAGGGGCTGGTGGCTCGTGCCTGTAATCCTAGCTACTCAGGAGGCTGAGATTTAAGGATTATGGTTAGAAGCCAGCCTGGTTAGGAAAATCCATGAGACCCTTACCTCCTTACGAGAAAACCAGAAGTAGAGCTGTGACTCAAAGTAGTAGAGTGCTACCCTTGAGCAAAACAGCTCAGGGACAGCGCCCAGGCCCTGAGTTCAAGCCCCACAACTGGAAAAAAAAAATTCTCAGTGCCAGATACCAGTGGCTCATGCCTTTAATTCTAGCTATTCAAGAGGCTGAGATCTGAGGATGGTGGTTTTGAAGTCAGCCTCAGCAGAAAGTCCATGAGACTCTTATCTCCAAGTAACTACCTAAAAGCCAGAAGTAGAGCTGTGGTTCAAGTGGCAGAATGCTAGCTTTGGAGTAAAGAGCACAAAGGCCCCAAATTTAAACCCCAGGACTAGCACAAAAAAAGAAAAAGAAAAAAAGAAGGGATCATTAGTGTTTTAGTGTTCAGCCTTAATTAATCCAGTCTTAACCTAGTGTGTCACATATGCTCAATATCTGTCAAATGAATGAAATCCCAATTCTCCCTGAATTTGTTTCAATGGTAAGATTAAAAATTGTATCATTATGCTCTTGAGGTCTGCATATGGAACTACTGAGTACAAATAACTTGTCAGCATCTCATCATGCTTATTAGTTCTAAATATGTAGAAAAGTTTTAAATGATAGCTTAATGATCTGGAGACTAGCCTGGGTTATACATGTGACAGGAACAGAACAAGCCCAGTGCTAGTGCTCATTGGTTACATCCCAAGCTACATGGGAGACTGAGACTGGGAAAATCATGGTTCTGGGCACTCCCTGGCACCATAGAGAGTTCATGAGAAGAGTTCACGAGACTCATCTCCATGGAAGGGAAGCAGAGGAGGTAGCAAGTTCTCAGGGGCCTGGCACTGATGGGAAGGAAGCCTCACAGTTGGTAGACGTAGCTCGGACATGTGCAGGAAGCAAACTCCCATCCCAAAACAACCAGTGCAAACATACTGGAAGAGCAGCTCAACACTGCCATGATCACTCCAGCCTAGTGAGGGCAAAGCCCTGAGTTCAAACCTCAGCACTACCAAAATAATAGAGGAAGGCTAAGGAAAGGGTGACACTGTCCAAAAGGAAATAGACTCATTACATGACTTATGGTAACTCTTTGTACAACACCTTATTAACAAGAACTGAAAAATATAAGCCAGGCACTGGTGACTCAGGCCTGTCATTCTAGCTACTCAAGAGGCTGAGATATGAGAATCTCAGTTCAAAGACTGCCAGGGCAAGAAAGTCTGTGAGACTCTTATCTCTAATTAATCATCAGAAAACTGGAAGTGGTGCTGTGGCTCAAGTAACAGAGCTCTAGCCTTGAGCTGAAGACAGCACCCAGGTCCAGAGTTCAAGACCCAGGACTGACAAAAAGAAACTAATAATAGAACAAATCCTACAGAGTTGATAAAGTCTCAACTAATAAGAAAACATTTTTTTTTATTTTTGGGTCTGGTCGTGGGGCCTGAACTCTGGGCCTGGGTGCTGTTCCTCAGCTTATCAGCTCAAGGCTAGCGCTCTACCACTTGAGCCACAGTGCCACTTCTGGCTTTTTTTTTTTTTTTTGCTTATGTGGTGCTGAGGAATCGAACCCAGGGCCTCATGCATGCAAGGCAAGTGCTCTACCACTGAGCCACCTTCCCAGCCGCAAGAAAACATTTTCAAATGTTGTGTTTCTCGAATTGGCTAGTCTTTTGGAATTCTGTTCATGAATTACTGCTGAGATAGGAGATCCAAAAGTAATTCAGGAACTTTCTTCTCAGCCCCACTGGGCCCCATATGGCTCTACAAGAGGAGCCCCTCTGGCTCCAACTTGCATCCAGCCCACCTGACTCGTTCCTGGCGATGCTGCCGGGCTACAGGCGTGGAGGTGGCGGCTCAGCCCCATGCAGTGTGCCTCCCTCTGGTGCAGCCTGTTGGTATGGCACAGACCCCACAGTGCCATGTCGCAGGGACCCGGGCTGAGTTCTCCTTGAGGGAAACTACTTCATCCTCCTGAGTGGCCAGGAGGATGAAATGTGATAGGAAAAATGTCTCACACCTCTTGTGCGAAATTCACATCAAATGATCATTTTATTCTCTTCTTCCATCCCCAGAAAACCAGTCTTCTGCCAAAAAGCATAAAACGTCATTTTACTGAAAGTCTACAGCCCTCAAATACCCACTGTAGACCAGAGCTTGCTTTGTCTGTGCTAGTACTCACTCTCCCCACTCACCAACCTGCCCACATGAC